AAGCTGGCGACTGAGGACTCTGTGATCTCGCGATCAAGCGCAGATAAGACATTGCTTTCTTGAGGAAAGTCGATTACATTGAGTGTCTTTTCAGAGGGCAGACTTTGAGCGGAGCTAATCCATTCTTTCGGAACAGAGTCGAGTTGATGGGACTTTTTGTCTGCAGCAATCTGTTGCCAACTTGAATCCATGAGAGAAACTTCCAAGAGGGAGGCGGCGTTTAATCGTTGGCATCATCGGCGGCCAAGCGGTTTTAAGGGTCTGGCGTGCTGAATCCACACCGGATTCCGAAGTGGGCCACTGCAAGCATGTCGGCGAGGTAGAATTTGCCCGAGCGCTGTGATAGTAGGGCACTAGTTGGTCGGACGTCCGCCAACTTGTATCACAAACCCGTCTGAGTCACATCTCTTGTCACATTTGTTCTTCGGCATCGGCCGCAAAAGTCAACACCAAGGAAACAAGGACAAATATTCTTCCTTGGTTCAAACTGCTCTCGCCACTCCGGGCCTTTGCAAGATATTTGTGTGGAGTTAGGCCAAGGTCAGACGTCTTCAATGCGTGGGGAAACAGGGTCTATACTAGCAGCTTGTTGGATTAAGTACGGGTTTACAGCATTCCCCTAGTCTCTCGCAGACAGACATTCTAAACTCGTACTAGCATTCCCCTGACCTCAAGCATCATGATTCTTACGAGTCGACGACCGCTAAGCACTTGTGTCATGCGGGTGAGCCACAAGTTTCACGCCCCTCACGTCTCCCTTCTGCAATTTTTCCAACCCCCCCAAGATCCCGGAAACCCCACCTGGCAGCACTTCATACCGGTTACCCTACCAAGAGGGATGAGAGATCAAGCCAAAGCTGAACGCAGTCACGGCATACCGTAATAATTCCCCTCTTTAGCATCTCGGACACGTTCTTGACCATCAGCTCCTGGCTCTTTTTGAACTGCTCAATCGTAGCGGGGTTTGGCGCCACGCGGACAAACAACAGCTTCTTACGTTCCCCATCCTGGTCAAATGGCGCCGTCGGCTGGCAGGTGACGATACTTCCGCCCTCCGTCACGCAATCGTACGCCGTGTTGAGTGCCGCCAGGTCTATGGTGTGATATATCACCTTGACTGGCGCTCTGAGGGCAGCGGCCAGGGATTCTAGGGGAACTTCGCCGCGATCGATGCATTCGGTCGCACCGAGTTGGCGAAGATATTCAGAATGCACTCCAGATGCGTACGTGACGATCCGCGAGAATCCGAGGGATTTCAACAGCTGGATGGCTATATACTTTTGTGAGCAATTACTGACGCCGTCGATGAAAGAGAAGAATCACGCACCGAATTGACCCACCGACGTCGCAGCGCCGATTACAAGCGCGGACCCGTCCTGAGGCGGTATGTTGCACGAAAACGTGGTATTAAGCCCAAGACCAATGGGTGCCGCGGCGAATAGGCCTATGCACGCCGACGTAAACGCCATCGGAATGGTCGCTACCTCATCAAAACTCGCGTTTTCTGGGATCTGAATGCAAGTCAACAATATTTCAAACCCCACTCCATCGATCACGTACGGGGACGAGGAAACCTGCAACAGGAACCGCGGTATATTGCCCGAACCCTCCCTTCACGGCTCTCCCGAACCTGAATCGCGGTCGGTTCAGCGATGCAATAATAGGCGGCGATCTGCGTACACTCTGTCCCCCTTCTTGAGACCTTCTACGCCTTCGCCAAGCGCTTCAACTGTGCCGGCAACGTCGTTGCCGAGGACTACCGGGTATTTATCGACCAGGATATTATACTCGCGTTGGATCCAGTTGGCAGGGTTCAATGCGACAGCCATGGTCTTGATGAGGACCTCCCCCTTTTCAGGAGAAGGGATTTCGCGCGTGGCCAGGACGAACGGAGCTTTGGGAGATTCAACGACGATGACTTGTTGAGTAGGCATGGGGGGTAGTTGAGTTGTATTGCTGGCGGGAAATGACGCGTTTATATAGGTTCAAGAGGGTCATCCGCGCTGAGTAGTTCGGAAAAATTTCCGAGGGTGATCTTGTCTTCGCGTCGAAATGGTGGCCTGTGTCCTCCGGCGCGGTGCTCCCGCCCGGTAGTTCGCGCACAGTTGAACGATGACACATTCGGTTTACTCATTTGTTCAAAAACAGAAGTGCAGTGCAGCAGTGATGTAAGCTATTGAATTCAAAAGTTCCAGGCTTCAAGTGGACACGACCATGTCCGCCCCTGCTGCCGCTCCTGCAGCCCAGGCCCCGGCCCAGCAACAAGAATCGACGTTCCGGAAGATATTTGGACTTGCCCAGGTCAGTCTACCGGCCTCATTCGATTTCTGCTGGACTCAGAAAATTTCAGCAAGCGTTCCTCATATGGACTGTCTCGCAGTTAGGTTCGCGTCCCAGGCCTCCCAAATAACATCTTCTGACCCCCATTGTCGTGTGTAGCGTCGAAGTATCTTTTCAATGCTGGTCCTCCAGCCAAGGCGCCGGTACCGGCTGGTACACCTGGTGTACCGGATGTCGACCCGCGGACTCTGCCACCTGCACAGGCACTCCTCGCATGGCCCCTTGGTCAGTCGCTCGACATGCACGTCTTCCTGTCGACCTCGCCCATCGGCGACGTCTTTTCGTCGAAATGGACTGCCGGCTATCGAAAGGACCAAGACGAGGGTCTGCCCAACTTTGTGTGGAAAAACATCACCTTTGGCGATTATAACGACGCACGGGTGGTAGAATACAACATCAACTTCCCGCAGGTTTGTACCTCGCTGGTGTTCTAGCTGCGTTTAACTGTTCCCTAGAGCGTATTAAACAACGGCTCTCTGTGGGCGGACATATTCCTAACAAAAGATGGAGCAAACCCGGACCCCCAAAATCCTACATTCAACCCGGAGAACATCCACCACGTCCGCAAACGTACGGCTGGCTTATCCGTTTTGTGATGCAGCTCATGTTGCGTTCTAGTTCTGACGCCGCATATGTTGAGGCTGAAGGTGCGCAAGCAGCACAATCTCCTCCAGTCAAATGCCACGGAGGAACCAGAGGAAGTGCGTTAGACGCTCAAAGGACTGATCCTGATACTGATTCACATCGCCAGGTCGAGCCAGATGTAATAACAGCGCACTGGCATAGTGTGAGCGCTCTCCGTTCTCTCCCAAACTTAAAGTGAAACCCCTACGCAGAACGTTACTCTCGCGCTCATCTCAGATGCCGCCATGGTCCCCTTCGGCTCCCTCCCGCCTCCCATCCTCGAACGTGCGTACATCCAACGTCTCCAGACAATCTGCTCACCGCCTCGCAGACGTGCACCTCGTCCCCAACGCGCGCGACGAAACGGGCACACGCGGCTTCTACAAGCCCATCATCTTCCCGAACGAGTTCTGGCACCTTCGTGACCACTACGTCGAGCTCAACGCCACGACGCCGCGCCTCCCGCTGCAGATCGTCTTCCAGCCGATGTCGTTCATGAAGTTCCAGGTGTTTGCGTCGATGACCCATGGATTCAAGGAGGCGGTGAAGACGCAGGGCGGCGGTGCGGGCGCGGAGCTCGACGAGGTGAAGCGCATGCTGTTGGAGACGAACCCGTGGCTCCTCGGCCTGACGGCGCTCGTCAGTATCTTGCATGTAGTGTGCGTATCTCGTCTGTTGCTGCGTGCTGGACTCAAATTGGTACAGGTTCGAGATGCTCGCGTTCAAGTCGGATGTCTCGCATTGGAGGCAGAAGAAGGAGATGGTCGGTGTGTCTGTCCGGACGGTGTGTTTGTTTTGTTATTATTATGCTTCAGAAACCGCGATTTATGACATCTACTAGATCATCACGAACGTTTTCGTACAGTTTATCATTTTGCTATATCTCATCGACAACAACGAGAACACCAGCTGGATGATTTTGTTCGGCTCGGGGACGGGTGTATTAATCGAGGCGTGGAAGGTGCGAAGCTCTGGCGACTACCTACTCAATTCGCGTGCTAACGATCGTGTTTAGATCACAAAGGCGGTCGACATTTCCGTGGTAGCTGCTCCGGGTGCCCTCATACCCTACAAACTCGACATCAAAGGTTCGTGGCCCCTCGCAATTTGGTTTGCGTGACCAACGGTGCTCTCAGATAAACACGTCCTGAGCGAGGACGAGAAGAAGACGCAAGAGTACGCCGCCGCTACACTTCAGGCTCTAGTTAATTGACTGTTCGCGCAGATACGACAAGCTCGCATTCAAATACGTCTCCTGGGTCGCGATCCCCCTCCTCGCAGCCTACACCATCTACTCGCTGATGTACGAGACGCACCGCGGGTGGTACAGCTTCGTGATCTCGACGCTGACGTCGTTCGTGTATATGTTCGGCTTCGCCCAACTTGTGCCGCAGTTGATTATCAACTACAAGCTCAAGGTCTGTGGTCCCATTCGGGGTGGTTGCCGACCCACTGATGTGCCGCCGCAAACAGAGCGTGGCGCACATGCCCATGAAGGCGATGATCTACAAGACGCTCTCGACCGTCGTGGACGATTTCTTCGCGTACGTCCCTGGGTCCTTGAACTTGCGACCTCCCAGCTAGCTGACGATGCCCGCCAACACAATAGTTTCTGCATCAAGATGCCCTTCCTGCACCGGCTGGCGTGTTTCCGCGACGACGTCGTGTTCCTCATTTTCCTATACCAGGTGGGTCTACTTCCGCTTCCGTCTGCGGACATACGTGCACTCGGTGCTGACGGGGCGGCGTGCACAGCGCTGGATATACCGCATCGACCCGAAGCGCGTGAACGAGTACGGGCAGGTGCTCGCGACGGATGTGGATAAGGCGGGTGAGACGAAGAAGGACGCGGCCGGCGAGACGAAGAAGACGAGGTAGACTAGGGCAGGTGTAGACGGGCATGGGTATCTATGTATTGTATCCACGACTAGTTTGAATTTCTTTGGCTGGAAGATCGAACATAGATTGGGGCGGGACGTTTCGCCTTCTGGAGCTGCTGAATATGATTTAGCTTGCCTTGTTGCCTTGTTTCCGTCGCATTAATGGGGTAGTGGTAACCTGGGTCGTTGCCATCGGGTAGTCGAAATGCTCGACCCGCCGGGGGTTCGATTCCCCCTTAATGCATTATGAGTTCCTTCTTTTTTCTTCTCAAACCCCTTACCTTTTTGACCTTCTTGTTTGAACTTCTCGGCTCTAGTGTATTTTTTTACCACAAATCCAGATAATAAATTCCACCCTCATCCCTAGCTAGTGAATGAAACAATATTTGTGTCCTTCCTAATCGGGACGCAGGCGGTTGTCTGTTTGTCGCTTGTGCCAAACCAGCCTCAACGACGATGTCCGTCAGGGTGCCCAGCTCTAGTACGTCCTGTGTCCTGGCCACCGTTGGATCTCCCACGGTAGAGAACACACAAGCCCCTCGCTGCTTTGTTCGGCATTTGGCGAGAAACCTAGGCAAATTGGCAACATCCAAGGCAAGGCCTCAAAATTGTCGTTTTCTTTGGACGACAACGATGAACATCGTCTGGTCGAAGTTGGCTTGAATTATGGCAGCACTGTCCATCTCTCTCGAACCAGTGAGTACAATTTTCTTGGTCATCCGTTTGCCTCAGGAACCCGAGAAAGCCTAAGTGCATTTAATACTACCGTTAATCATTCGAGTGATAATTCATTGGCCTCAGCCTTATAACTCCATTCTACCGCCGTTTTATTTTCCGACAATCCCGCACTTTCAGCCTTTCAGCCGCCAAGCATCGGAATATCCTTTCCACGGTTTTTCTGGTAGGTTATTTCTTGGGCGGGTCGGCGCAGTCGGGTTAGGCAGTGGGCCCTGACACGATCTTCCAGTGCCGTCTGCCGGGTCGGTGTTCTTGGGTTGTATACTGGCGTTGGCGCACTTGAACATTCTTAGTTTACGGGCGGCTGCCGATGACTGATCGTCATGGTCAAATCACAGTGTGGGCTTTCCCGAATCGTCGGCGAATAACTGATATATATACCCCAGGTAACTCTGGTCACCCTCTACCTAGCTTTCCCAAAAATATGACCATCAGCAAAGATCCATCAGCCACACTCGTCGCCGTTGTCGGTGCCACTGGAACCCAGGGCGGCAGTGTCATCAATGCGCTGGTTGAATCCGACAAGCCCTACCGCGTCCGAGGTTTTACTCGCGATGCTGCCAAGCCCGCCGCACAGGAGCTCGTCAAATTGGGCGTGGAAGTCGTGGTCGTGTCGCTTGTTGTCGAGAATAAGGAGGAGGTCTACAAGGCCTTCGTCGGTGCGGATGTCGCTTTTGTAAGGTGATCTCTTCTTCTGTGTATGCCGTCTTGATGAAATTCTAGCTCGTCACCAACTTCTGGGAACATACTGATGTAGAGAAGGTACCGTATTTTATGGCTCCATGCTTGTGCGGCGGCTGAGCATACCACGACAGGAAATCAGCGAAGGCAAACTCCTCATCGATGCCGGAAAAGCAGGTGGCGTTTCGCGCATCGTCTGGTCTGGCCTCCCATCCTTCAACAAGCTCAGTTCCGGGAAGTATGCGAACGTATATCACTTCGATGGAAAGGCTGTCATCACCGAATACGGCCGTCAATCTGGCATTCAATTCGTCGATGTGCAGGCCGGGTTCTACGGACAGAACTTCCAGGGCAATACCCCTTCCATGCTCGCGAAGCAGGCCGACGGCTCGTTCGTCATTGCCTTGCCAGTGAAGCCCACCACTATTATCCCGTTCATCGACGCCGTCCACGACTACGGGCTGTTTGTGCGCCAGGTGCTCGAGGACCCTATCTTCCCAGACGGTTCCGAGATCGTCGCGCACGGCGAAAAGATCACCTACCCCGATTTGGCTCAGCAGTTGAGCGAAGGTATATGACCTATTTTAATCTTGTCGTTCCTCGCTAACACACCGTGGAATAGTGACCGGAAAGAAGGTTGTATTCCAGCAGGTCTCGGTTGAGCAGTTTAAGCAGGGCGTCCAAGCGTTAGCTCTCCCTCCACATATTGCGTTGGATATGCTCGAGTTTATGCAAGCTTGGGATGAATTTGGATGTGCGTACTGCCCTAAGTTCTTGGTGAACAGGATTGACCAACCCGCGGTGTGTCCTAGGGGGTGACGCCGCACCCATTCAGAAAGGTCTGGCAAGGCGTCCGCGCACGTGGACTGAGTTTGCCAAGAACTCAGATTGGAGCAAAGCGCTAGCTTAGTTCACTTCCATTCAGCGTTGTATTGAATGCCTGATAACCGTATGAATTTAAACCGCGGATTGAAACTGCTAGAGCAAAGTAAAGCCCAAGGGGATTTCCTCACGGCGCATGGGAGTTGTGGCAAGCCACAAGGGGTCGCAGGCCGGACTTGGCAGTCCGATACGGCCAAACGGTTAGGAAAATCTTCGGCACTCGCAGGTAACATCTCGAATTCGAAACGATCGTTGGTCACTTTCCCCGATTAGCGCGTTCGGGTATAGACATACAACTTGGGCGGCCGAAAGTAACTACGTTTCGAGTACCCTGGCGATAATCTCATCTTTCTGAGTCCAGTGAGGGGTTTTTTTTTTAAAAAAAAACCCCGCTGTAGATTCATTACGTTCCATGTATCCCGTAACTGTTCCATTTATGCCTCGATATTCGTGCATATACCGTACAAGTACATCAGTTTTTTTTCAGACATTCTCAAGGTGTTGCCCGAAGTACTAGTTTGTCTAGCTCGGACGGCATTCCGCGCAGGCGCACCGCACTACGGCGTCAGCGACATGCGGGAACTGGGCGAGGGGCTGCACAAGTTCGAGTACTACCTCTGCGATCGGCTCATGTGAGCCCGTGTGGCGCGCGCGCAGCCCTATTTATCACGCGGACATTGCGCGGACAAGATCGTGATTCCGCTCGTACGTATACTACATCGTTGTGTGGTATTTGGATCGTTTGCTTAATCGTGTGTTATATATTCTTCAGCGGGAAGACGATACCGTCGTCTCTGCGGACCAAATGGTGGAGTCTCTGAGGAGACGGTGAAAAAGATCGGAGCGCAAGGGCAAAGTGGATCTTGTTCTGTTTCCGGGTGAGGGCCACGGATGGCGAAAGGCGTTAACTTTTAAGACGGTTCTCGAGCGTGAGATGGTGTTTTTCAATCAGGTTCTTGGGTTGGAGAATATGCGGCGAAGAGGTGATGTAAAAGTCGCAGGTCTTTGTATCCCGCTCGATATCTTGACTCTGGGTGGCTCTGGTGCTATCTTGAATCATTTTTTCGATCAGGAGTCCGTCCAATAAAATCCAGGCCACTTTCCCAGTGTCCTTCCTAATCGGGGCCATGGCGGTTGTTTGTTTGCGCGTTGTTTGCGCTTATGCCATCTTCCGTTTGTTCCCAAACTTCGAGCCGGTCGATGTCCGCCCACCTCCGAAAACGCTTCGCAGAGCTTGACACGGAAATTGTCGAACAAGAACGCGTACTGGACCAGCTTCGACAAACTCGGTCAGATGTGGAGCGCGAACTTCACGCGACTGCGACATATCCCATCTTGACGTTGCCTACCGAAATCACAGCCGAAATTTTTGGCCATTGCCTTCTGATTTTTGGCGCATGCTTCATCCCCCGCACTTACAAAAGATCGGCCCCGATTATCTTTTCCGCCGTTTGCCGTGCGTGGAGAGACATTACTCTCGCTACGCCCATACTTTGGTCAGAACTGCACATTCGGTTCGATGAAATTGCCATCGATGTGGTAACAAAAGCGGGGTTGATAGAGGATTCCATCGACAGATGGCTGTCCCGTGCAGGAAGCCGTCCTTTATCACTGGATTTTATGTCGCAAGAGAGGAACCGCTTTGCACTCAGTCGCTTGCGAGACATTATCCACCGTTGGTCGCACCGAGTGGAAGATCTTTGCGTGGATATAGCCTGGCAAAATATTCAGACCCTGGGACTGGAATCCGCCGCATTTCCGCTGCTTCAGGGTGCGACCCTTGGATGCCGCTACATTCCCGCCCTTACCTTCTTCGATAACTCACCTCGCTTCTGTGACTTGCGGCTGCGGATGTCGTCGGCAGGGTTCATACCGAGCACATTTACGCAGCAGTTGACGAAATTTGAGGGGCCAATGTGGGACTTGGAGCTGCTGACCCTGGCCCCCAACCTCACCGAAATAACATGTTCATTCGTACCTGACCCCGACGATGCGCCTACAGCGATAACTCATCACAATGTGAGATCGCTCGCTATAGTTGCAGATGGAGCCGACTGGGCTGATATTCTACCATATCTCATTCTCCCGGCTCTACATCATTTGGACGTCTCCGCCATGGATAACTACGACACACTCGAGTCATTTCTGGCTCGGTCCTCGCCATCCTTAGTCTCCTTATTCGTTGAAGGAGCCGCCTCCTGTTTCGACCACTGGAGCCAATGCATCGCTCTCGTGGATGGAACTCTCGAGAACCTGGAGGTCTGGGGTATCTCTAACGAAACAATACCCTCCATTTTCACCATTCTCCACCCTCTGCCAAACATCCAATCGCTGCGTTTTAAAGATCTGGAAGATCCTTTAAATCTTTATCTCTTGCTGCCATTTCTATACGAGCGATCCCATAAACTGCGCTCGTTCACAATTGATTGGGGATACAGCCGCTTTATCGAATCCAGCCTGGTACGTGCCGGGCCTCCAATTTCTGACACGATTGGCGGTCACCTTTCCCGATTGGCACGTTTGGGCATGGTCATCGACCTTGGGAAGAACTATGTTTCAATTGGGTACCTTTCGATATTTTTCACCCAACAATGATCTCATTTTGCTTCAGCGATATTGTAATTGGACGACAAAAATGCTGAATCTGCATAGCACTTCGGACGGGTTGAGGTGTTGCTTAATTATAGACAAAATCTCACTGTGGCTATTTCAATACGATTTTTACAGTGTCTCATAACTATTACTATCAAGTTGCGCAGAACAGAATTATTCTGGGCTTTCGCTTATGCGTTGAATAATGTTCTTCAAATCTTTTACCGCTAAATTATCTCACTTCTGAAGTTTGTCTGGGTCGGAGAAACCAAACACATTGCGATAATCGGCGCGCCGTTTAAACGTTCCTACCTGCCAACTGTCGCATGTAGGCGCTTGTGCGAGTTACTT